GTGCTAAAAGCAAATCTTCTGGCAAGACATCAACATTTTAGGAGCTGGCTTCCCCTTTATTTAGCTAAAAATCTCATTTATTGGGTTTATTTGTTTTTAGACTAACCTTCTTTAAAGAGGCTGACTTATAATCCTGTAAAACATTGTCACATGTATTGAGGAAATTGGCAAGGATGCTAATTTATTGTCCTCTAGGAAAAAAAGCTCTCTTTCCTTGATTAATGTATGTTTTTGTATTGTAAGATATTAAAGAATGTTGCTTCACCTGTAATTATAGAGAATAGTTTACTCTGGCAAACTGCCCTGGCTTCTGGTTGCCAAGTTATGAATAATGCAATGTTCCCCATTCTAATTTCCGTGTTCTAAGTTGTGAATTTGGAGCGGGGTGCATGCAAGGGCACACACACACAACACTGAGGCGCTCTCAGTCACGAGCGCCTCTATTTTATACTTGCTTGCACAACTTGTTAATACTGGCATCTGCCTGCCAAATTCAGAGTTTGCTTCTGACTAATTTCATCTTGATGCAAACCAAAAAAATGTTGTCTCTTTTTCCCCACAGAGGAATTATTTCTCTTACACTTGCATGCACTGTCACAATAGCACTGAGGGGAGCTTATCGCTGCAAGAAGGCATTTTAAGCCACGTTTAGTAGGGACTTGGGTAAAGATTCCTTGAAGAATTTAATGACAGAAAAATTCATTTTGCTTTCACATCTCCCCCGCCTCCGTGACACAGAACCAAACAATGTCTTTACAGAAGCGGGAAGTAAATTCAGGCACTGGCTCTTTCTCTTCCCTTTTTTTGGCCCGCGTTTCGCTGGGACACATGTGCCCAGCCCCAATCAAAACAGAGACAGATGGCACCGCTGATCATTCAGAATGGAAGGAGCCTCGGAGTCAGCATGTTTGGATGCATTTGTAGGGCTACGCAGTATCCACTGGCCACTGGGACTGATTTAAAAAGGCGGCGAGTGAAAGTCTGAGCTTGCGCCAAAATTTTAAATGTGCCATTTGAGCAATTATGGTTCAACATGAAAGCTGGGAGAAAGAATGCGTGGGTCATTCTGATTTAGATTTAGAGACTATGTCTCCTGTTCCAAAGAGAAAATAAATGCAATCCCACTGCTTTACTGGAGCAGATTTGGCGATAAAGGAAAAAGCCATGCTACAGAAAAGTGGTTTGCTGCAGCAAACCAGGTTCTGTTGAGGCAGCACAGGTTGAGTTAGAAAATCATTCTGTAAAAAAAGTTCCTAAATAGAAATAATTACTCAGCTAATGTGTGAATGTCTCGGTTCACTTTTGAAATGTATTCTTCATGCTGGTGAGCCTAATTGTATTTTTAACAGATTTGTGAAGGTGCATCATGGTCTTTATCTTAGTACAAGCCAGGTCCACAAAAGGCAGGCAGTGGAAATGGAAAATGCAGCTCCTCTAAGGCACACAGGTTAGAGGTTCCAGCCTACTGAAACTTGCCTCCATCCACAAGTAAACATATTTGGATTATGACCAAACTCCACATATAGCTAGGCAGGTCTATTTTTCTACTGGAAGACTTATGGCAGCTGTAACTTGTCATCCTACTGTGGCCTGGAGCTGGTCTAGTATTATTCGTAGCTTTGGTTGGACGATCAGGGCACAGAATTATAAAATATCCATGAAGGTGAAAAAGGAATAGCAGATTCCTAGGGCTGAAAGGTGCTCAGAAGGCTGGACATGCAGACGAGCCTTGCAGGCAGCCTCTGCGAGCGATTAAATAAATGCCTTCTACTCCCATGGCCCACATCCAAACGACCGAAATAAACAGGAAATATCTATGCTACTACAGCAGCACTTGGACTCATCTATAGCCTTTTAAGGGCTTTACCATGGAGGTGATATGCTTTCCAGAACCTCCATTCATGACCGCTGATTGGAGGTACACAAGGGCAGCGCGGTAACACATCCTCCAGACAGCTTCCTACAACTGCTGCTGCCGCCCCAGAACTTTTACACTGTTGCTGTTTCCTTTACGGGGAAAGAAAGGATCAGAATTAGCATCATTTAAGGTAATCGCGCCTTCAAAAAGAAACATGAGGCTATTAAAGGAGGCCACGGCACATTAGTATCACATAACCAACTGTGGTCCCAGAGCTGGAAGAGGAAACCAGCAGTGCAGTGGAAGGACAGGTCATGAGCCGGCTATCTGAGGGAAAAGCCGGAATGCTTATGCAACCGAGAGGGAAACAACAGCTTTCTACAGACAAAAACTGTCAAAGAGGAAGAAAGAAGAGAATGGAAAAATATGGATGAAATGCCCATAGTGGTGTGGAGTAAGGTTAGGACAAGCAGTGACATTGAAGTGAGGGCAAAAAAATCACCACAGATATTAAACTACTTTAATTACATTACTAGCTACTACACTGCTTCTGTAAAGGCAGTGCTGGGTTCTGTGTTACAGCAGCAAAGGAGATATGAAAGCACAATGAATTCTTCTTGCAGTCAATTCTTTGGGAGATCTTTACCAAGCTTTAACTAAATTTGGCTTAACACTCCTTCTTGCAGCGGTAAGCTCCCCCCAGCAGTATTGCAATCGTGCATGCAAGTGTAAGAGAAATAATTACTGACTCTACAGTTGTCCCAGACACAGTTTAGTGACGTGTAACACAAACTGGTGGGTTTTTTAGTACTATTTTATATTTACACTTACTAATTGTAGCCTAAGAAATGCATAAACTACCAAGAGCTGTAATTACAATCATCCTGTTGTCATACAGCAGCTGGCACAGCACAAACACTTACTGGGTCCTGCCACAACAGTCAGTGAGTGCCAAGGAAAGCAGTAGCCCTGTCACCACCAGCACACAGCCAGCCTGTGCAGCCAGGGCTGCCCCTCAGCAGATGCAGGAGAGTGACAGCGAACTGGCAGCGGACGGGGCACAACATGATCCCGCTTCTGCTTTTCAAAGGAACATTTCCATCCAAACACGGAACGCAGCCTACGTAAAAATAATTGTTACTTTTCTCCTGAGAGCATCTGGGCACCATACAAACATTTCCTAAAAAAATATCAGTCCCTGCCTCTTAATTCTTGCAGTGTAGCTAAGGGATGTGAACAAACAGTCACATCCTCAAAATATTTTCAGAAGGAACACGGCAAGATCCACAATGCTCCATCAGAGACATTGTTAAACACGACAGGCTAATTTTAGGGACGAGTCCTCTATCTGACAAGCTGCTCACACATCTAAGGGCAGAATTCGTCTGCTAGTAGGCAGCTGTTTGTGTTTTATAAGCTAAAGTTTCTTTTACCTATGGAATAACTCCAATATTTCACAGGGAATCATCATCCATCTAACTGAAGTACCCTCTAACAGACCATCAGCCTCATATCCCCTTTGAAATAGCACAGCTGAGCACTTGCTGGGCCACGATTTATTTTTTACCTTCTAAGACATCTTGGTAACTCTATAGCTCAATAGTGACAGTCGAATTTCACACTGCGATAGCCCCCCATCGATTTTTCATTCCCAGGAAGCAACTCTACAAATTAAAGTTAACAGCATTTCTGAAACTAAGGAAAAAAAAAAAGAAAAAAAAGGAAAAGAAGGGGCAGGCAAAAAGACATAAATGGCAAGATGCTTTAACTGCACACCCAGCATAGGAATAGAATTCCTTCCTGGGGTTTTCACCAATTATGGGACAGGGATGCTACTGCCCCTGAAACCAGCAGAACCCTGGGGTTTGCAGATGGTTCAGCTCTAAAACACCACGGGATCAACAGACATAAGAGTTCCTTCCTATATGAAGATGACAAAATCTACAGAAAACTGTCCCAAGGCATGAAATCAGACCAAACCTCTGGACAACAGCTGCACTAAACAGAAACACCACCTTCCCCCAGGTCTGAGCTTGTACAGTCAGCCTGCCTCACTGAGCTTCGTTAACCACCACCCTGTGAAGACATCGATACAATTACACTTTGCACAGTGGTTATAAATGTTTGAGACCACCACTGGCACATGAAACTTCTACCCAACAGTTAGAAGAGGGAGCAGAATAAAGAAACATAGCCCGGCTCTCCACCGTCACAACCCAGAGGGACGAAATGGTGCATCTCCCTCTGCACCCTTTCAACACTGAACACCAGTATACAGTACAAACACAATATTACATATTACTGAATTAGTGAAAAAGACTAAAACCTAAGAAAGATAAAAATCTAGACACAAGCAGCAGAGCCTAGCAGCTCTTTCTCAGCTTGGCTTTGACAATCCCACACTTCAGTTCAGCTTCCTGGATCCTCTCTCAAGTTCACACGGGTTGCTCTAGGACTGGACCCATCAGCAGCATCATGCTCTTGCAGAACACAAAGGGTTAGTTCATTTATGACCCAAGTTAATTTTTTAATTCTGTCTTTGCTATGAAATGTTCTTGTCTCCAGGCAAAGCCTATTAATAGTGTGACACTATGGAGAGGAGCTGGGAAGCGCTTATCCTGTGGTGTGAATTCACAGCAGCTTCTGTTTCCCTCTGACATACCAGCTTAAGCATGGCTCCTTCCCTTTCAGGCCTCTGCTAATCCTCTGGCTTCACACACACTCTGCTCCCACCCTGACCCACCTGCCTGGGAGCAGGGTCCCCACGACAGACACTGCTACCTCCCCGACTGCTCTCACACGCTTCGCTCTTCGCACAAGGACCCCAACCTAAACTTGTTCAATTTTAACTGATGCTCCTTCCTGTGCTGCTGCACCAGAGCCCCTCCAGAGCCGATGTTTCAGAGCAGCTGGACTGGAAAGAGGTGAGGTGGGGAGGGGGGAAGGGGAGGAAAGAGGAGACAGGAAAAATAAAACAAACACAATTGCTTTTTGTCTCTAAAACCCTCTTTTTAACCCAGCGAGCGTCTCATCCAATGAAGCATGATAAGCATGAAGTGTTATATAAAGAAGATAATTATAAAGGGATTTAATGCTTGGCAGGCTCGTATCGCAAGGTTCAGAGCAGAGGTAGCATACTCACTTAAACAGCCTTGTGTCCAGGTTTGCTATTATGCAGGCAGCACGGCTGGGGCCAAGCGGAATCAGAAACAAGATTTGTTTTACAAAAAAAAAAAAAAAAAAGCACAGCCCCCTTCCCACTGAGGATGGCAGTTCCAGTCCCACCTCCTTCCACTTCTGTCCCATCCCTGATTAATGATGTTGTCTGCCTGATTTATGACCCACCCCAACAGATTAGAGTTTCCCTCTTCAACCTCCCCCCCTTTCACCCCTCCCAGAAGGCACAGCCACACTCCGCTGGAAATATTAGAGAATTATTAAATAAACATTCATACGTCATGTCTCTTCCCATACTGAGCTCATCGTAGTCAACGCTCAGCGGCCGGGTCCTGTTTGCTTTGGGGCTGACACCAAACAGCTGGAGTGATTCATGGAGAGGCTGGCTACAATGCTCTGTGCCATATATCATGCTCGCAGCGCTCCCTGCCCCGGCGGAGATAAACTGATCAACCACAACGGGCTGGAATGAATTTATGACAACACAAAATTGAGGAAAACAAATGGGAGGTGACCCAGTGGGCCACTAACCCAGACTCTCTCGCTGGCCTGCAATCTAGTCTGGTGGCAGAAAGCAAAATTGAACATTGGCACTCTGAATTAAGATGCTGGCTTTTAACCCCGGGGAACCTCGGTTTCAAAACGGCACCAGACCCTCGCAGGAGGCATCTTGGGAGGGAGCAGAGAGGAAGACTTTTTGTGGGGAAGGTGCTTTTTGCAGCTCTCTGTGCGCAACAGCGCTGAGAATACGACGTTGGTGGAGCAGCTGGGGGGGTGCCTGCGCAATTAGGGACCAGCCGCTCTCCCTGAGCAATGCTGCATCTCAAGTTGAGGTAAAGTAGTGTCACACTAGCTGAGCTTTGCCTTGGCAGTGGCTGGGGTCTTCAGCAGATAGGCAGAGCTCAGACAGTGTGATGCTCCTTCACCTGTCCCCATGAGCCTTCAGCACCCCAGGGTGTCTCCCAGACACCCCACATGGCTGAGATTAGAAAAGCTCAGCAGGGCTGAGACACCCTGCAGTGTTGGGAAGGAGAGCTGGGAGCAGCACCTTGTCTCTCACCATTGTGGTTGCCATCAAGTTCAACACTAGCAGATGAGATCAGCTTGTCCAAGCTGCTGATGACCTGGCACGGCACAAGGAGTGGAGCAACAAACACAGACTTACCCCGAACCCCATCTAGTTGTTCTGCATGCAAGAGACTCTCCCACAAAAACCCAAGTTTAGATTAAATGAACTTGGGCAGGCAAACAATTTCAGCTACAAGGAGGACTGCTTGCTGTACTGTATTAATGGATTAAAAAACAAGCAAAACCACGCTGCTCTCTTTGCTTGGACTTATTTTTGGAAGAGGGGAGGAAGGAACGTCATTCTTACGAGAGAAGGATCAATACACAGATCTCTGCTAACTCTATTAGCCACTGCTCTGAACGGAGAGCACGGCTGACACAGGTGCTAAGCCATGTGCTTCTGGACAATTTTTAAAATGCTAATGAGGTGCTACACAAGGTTTAAACATGCCAATCAATAATACTCAGATTTAAAGGCAAAAACTGAAGTTACAAACAATGGAGTAAAGTGATGCTGCCAAAAACTTCCTGTAAGCACCACCCAAAACAAGAAAAATGAAACCAATTTAGCCCCAGATTAAGAAACAGGAACTAGAGATGAATCAATTTAGCCTGTTGGGCTGGGTCGCCATATATCATGGCTCAGCAGTGGAGTGGGAAACAGCCAGACAGTGAGAAACCCTTCCCCCTCCTTTCTGTAGGCTTCTAGCTCTGATCCCTGTTATCAATTAATTTAACAGAACCCCTCTACACAGACAAGCACACAGAGCATTGAGACTCCTTAAATGGCAGGACAGAAACTATTTATCACACATGAATCTCAAAGGAAAGAAGAGCAAAAAAAAAAAGCAGCTAGGAATTCTCCACCTGAAACACCATCTTGTTTTCTGAACCTCGGTAAAATAAAGCACCTTAAATAAAAAGGTGCCCCTGCAACTTTCAAAAATTAACGTTTTTGGAAAGACTGAACAAGACATTTAAGGAGTTTCCTGCAATTTCTATTGGGTTTTGCTGACTTTTAGCAGAACTGAAGCTTTAGTGGGGCAAGGTTATTGCAGAGCAAGGTGTGTGTTCTTATACATGCACATACACACATACACGCTCTCCCCACTTCACAGCAGTGTTAGCATGAGAGTTGTTTGGAAAGGATTCTGGGACCCTTCAAAAGATGCTAGCTAAAGCCTCTTTGATCAGATTATTAAAGCTATGTCAGTTTTATCACTTGAGCTCAAGTGTTCTGGAAAATGTCAAATCCTTTCAGCTCCTGCAGTTTAAAGATTTTCAATAGGAGTGGATCTGGGAGGGTGGAGAGCTGCTGGGCTGACAGGCAGGAGGCCCAAAGGGAAGCCAAGCAGCAGCTGAGACAGAAGCTGACAGATTAGGGCAGAAGGTATGAGCCCTTGCCACCAAGACAGCATGCACTGGTTGGCTCTCACTCCAAGGACAAATCTGCTTCTGCACTGACCTGCAAGCTCCCAGACTTAGTGGTCCTTGGTCAAAGTCTGCTCACTGAGAGGCATCGAGCAGCAGACAGCCAACATTTGGGACATGCTAACAAAAAGGATTGTAAAAAGGCAAGTGCCAAGGCAGCAAAGCAATGTTAAAGTTTCCTCTGCAGCAGGGAGTTTCCCCAGTTAACCCCTGACTGTGAACATATGTCCTTCCAGGCTGCCTGAACTGTCAGAGATCCAGAAATGTACTGGGGACACAACCTCTCAAGTCAGAACCAGGGGTAGAAGGAGAACAAATTGCATTAAAAAAATTACAACTTTCTGTGAAATCAGCTTAATGCTACCACCAGATTTTTCCCCATCCTAAATTATCCATGGACTTCAACCCAAAATGTAATGTTTAAAACCCACCATTTTACCTCATTGCTTCCACCTCATTCAAGCTGTTTGGTCTCTCACTTGATCTTGGGGCAATGTTTTATATCAAGCAATAATCAACTTAAAACACTGCCCCATCCCAGCTAATGCAGTCCATGGCAGCAGAGAAGAGTCTGCAGTTTTAGGTTTGGACCATCAAATCTGTCTGAGCAGTAAGTCAACCTAGCAGCATGTGGAAGGAGGCTGAAAATGTTACTCAAATGAACAGTGCAGATAAAACCATTTATTTTTATCCCAGACTAGACTGCAGCACATTCAGTGAGCAGAAAGGGACAGGAAAGGAGATGCCCAGGAGTCCCCTGCACTACTGTACATTTAAACACAGGGACTTAAACTTCTAAATCACTGGAAGGACTGTAGGTAAAAAACTCAGGAACTGAGACATTATTTCTCTTAGAAACCATACAAAGGCACAATATGGATCTCATGGAAAAAGAAATTCTCTTAGTCTGGCTTCTGCCAAGTTACAGTGCCGTTGAGGAGCAGCATCTCTCCCTTTTGCTGGAGAGATGGAAGGTGGAACATGCAGGTATCACAGAAAAAACAGAATAAAGACCACATGAAAGACTGCCCTCAAAAACCAAGGTGCAATGACAAGGTAACTTCTCCAGTAAAAGTAGGATCCCATGATACATTTGCAGGGGGAATCCAAAAGATCGAAGTACAGCTTGACAAGTCAATTGCTTTTGTCAGGTTAAAGTGGGTTTTGAATCTTTACCTCTTGTCCAAAGTTCCAGCTCTGGTCTAGGCTGTTATGCAACACACAACATTTAAAACCCCATGTTAACTAGAATATGATGGAAAGCATGGACAGATCTATTTACATATTTTAGAAGGCGGTAATTTGCAGTGGAGAAGCCCTCTGGAAGCTGTGCCCAGTTCCTTGTCACTGGGTACCTGCCCACACAGATATGTGCTGGAGAACTCTCCACAGGGCCTCTATGACCACAGCAGCAGCAAGTGCTCCAAGTCCAGGCTTCATGTTGGAGCACAACTTCCCTTCTCAGTGCTAAAAGCTTCAAATATGCCCACCCTCAGATTACCACTGCTTCTGGGAGCACCAAGTGGGACACTACGGTTCCTTAAAAGAAAAAAAATGGAAGCTATCCACTTCACACTCACTTTTCAATGTCACTGTTCTTACAGGTCTTCTGCATGGTCTCCTGTTTACTGCTTTCACCATTACTCGTCGAGGGCATTTCTGCTGAGGGAAGAACAGAAAAATTAGTAAGGAACATCTGATTATTGCAATGGAATAGTCTGAGCGAGTCTCAGTTTCAGAGGACCCCAATGGGTCATTTTCATGCCGATTCTCAGTATGAGAGAGAAGACACGGATGCTACATGTCCCTGTCTGGCAGGGGGAGGCTCTCTCTGGACAGAATGCTTCTATGATTCAAGGTTGAAGATACAACCTCTACCCTCTTCCCATTTCATCCTGACTGATGCTCACAGATGTACCAGTTGTTTAAGCCAGGATTTCATTCAGAAGGATTGATGCAGCTGCCACACAGAAGTGTACTTCTACAAAGGTGGGTCCAGAGCAAATCCACATAGCCCAGACCCAGCTTCTCCCTTTTCCTGAGAGCCCTCAGATACAAGCAGAAAAATGCATGTCAGGTAACTAGTATGACAGAACTGCTCATCATGGCTGCTCCCAGCACTGGAGAGGGTGTGAGACACCAGCTGGAGATGAGACAGATGAACTGTCCTGGGGCCAGCCCCGGGGCTGTAGGTTCAGCACCGTAGTTTCAGGTAATAAAAGGTATGAAGAAAACAGCTCATAGCAAATGTCATCAGGGCTGCTTCCCTCATCACCTCTGTGGCTGTAGCTACTGCAGCTGATCATACCTACAAGCTGTGCTCCTACATCACAGAAAATAAATGTGATTGCCTATCCCACAGAAGAAAATGCCTGCGATAGATATCCTATGTTCTCCATTTAACCATCATGCCCTTGGCAAAACTGGTTCTACTCAACCCCCTCCCACTGGCAAGCAGTTATGTCTTGTAGGTACTTTCAAGGCTGGGAATCAAATGCCCAAAGCATGACAGTTACAGAACAGGGAACAAAATCATTGGGACAAGTCTCTTCAGGTCGCTGAGCTTCAGTTCCCTTCCTAAGGGAGCTGGAGCAGCACTGCCCAGCTCTGGAAATGGATTTGGCATCTGCAGCTGGAAAGCGCCAGGTTTTATTATTCTCATATTTCCACTAGGTCGCTGTTTACACTTTTAGTGCTGCTGGCATTAAATAAAAAAGCCCAGCAGTCAAATGGTTTTAACGCTTCCCCCTTCCTTAATGGTATGAGCTTTCAAGTAATGCATGCAAAGGTACATATTCACATTAACTCATTTGCTCTGGAGTCTCAACTACAGGTCAAGAAGTAGGACAGCTCCTACAGTTACCACTCTGAAAGCTTCAGAGACGTAGACTTTTCTTGCCATACAGAGGCCACCAAAGACAAGATCTACCCAAAAGACCATGATACAGTTCTCTAGCATACCCTTTCAAAGAAGGGAAGATAAGAAAGCAGATGAAAAAAACCCAAGCAATAGGTACGCCTGTGTAGTTTAAACCCCCAGCAGCTGAGCACCACCATCACATAGACTCTGTAGGCTCCCTCTGCAATACAGCAGTTTGCCTTTTAGTGACACAACAGCAAGTCAATCCAATCCCTATCTCTTATAACCACACCAGTTAAGGTGGCATTTTTGGGAATTTCCCCAGCTGCCATCGACTACAATTAATTGTGCTGTAAAGTTTCAAAAAGATGGTGTGACTGTACGTGCATATCTATCTGATGAAACTCTGCATGAGCATTAGTAACTACTCTGCTCAAGTACTGGCAAGCAGAACATATGGAATATCTATCTGCCCTCCTGTAGCTTACGAATTAATAATTTACAAGTTCAACACTCACCGTCGCTGGCCCATTTAGAAAACTCCGGTGTTATTCGAGTACTGGGTGTGCCACCACTAAAAGAGAAAAGGGCAGAATGCTAAAGGTTGAATATGGAAAATTTTGCTGCTCAGAAAAAGATACCCCTTCCACCCACCACTTCTCTCTCAATAATTCTATCCATCATTCTAGGCTTCAAAACGTGAGCAGACGGTCAGCTGCAGGAGGTGTTTTTGCGCTACTCCACATTTCTACCACTGTTCTCCCTACTTGCACTTCTAGCTGTGACCTCTGCAGAATCCCACAGGGGTTGTGATGCTGACTGAAGGCTTGGGATTCAAACAGCACCTGTGACCTAAGGCTCATTTTTGAATGTACTGTTTCAAAGATGAACTTTACTTGTGAACAGAAACCCACTGCGTTGCAATAGCTTCTCCCTTTAGGAATAACTTTACACCTTCATAAGCCCCATCTTTTCCATCTTCCCATTTGAAAAACAGTAGCACTGAAGTACAGACAACTCCTAAACCTGTCCATTCACTTGCAAGCCAGTAAGAGAGACTGTAAGAGAAAGGAATCTTTGAGCAGGCTGTGAGTGTATGATGCTTCAGCTCTCTGTGCCAAGACAGCTGCACTCAAAGGTAACACAGGCTCAGGCTTCATGGCTTCAGCTACACCACTGCATTTCTACAGAAACTCACCAGAATTTCAAGGTGCTTTTACAAACAACATCACCTCTCCTGTTTTAGAGATGGGCAAACAAGCCCAGGAAACAAGCAAGGACCTTGCCCAAATAGCAAAACAATGTGTTAGGTGCAAGACACATGAAGGACCTGGGTCTCCTGGCCTCAGGTCCTCGGTTGTCTCACCAAGCATAAAGTGTCCACAGCCACTGATAACCCAGTATCTTCTTGCTACAATACCACAGTCCTGGCTGTGAAGGACGTTCAGCATCTTTGAGGCCCTGCCTTTGGACTAGCATGGTTAGCAAAGTATTGAATGGACCAATGGTTTGGATCCAGTATGGCAGATGCCACTTTTCTATGGAGTGAAACCTAATTTTGAACTAGTGTTTGCAATAGGCTAAGCAGTAAGAAAACTTCATTTCACTGCTCTATCAATCCCTTAAACCTTGACCTCACAGGATCACTCAGTGAAAGAGACAGAGGGGTAATTTAAGCCATGTTTTATGCAGGGCAGAGGGCTTGGAAAGCAATCCTAGCTCCCTGGTAAGACTTATTTTATTTGCCTAGAATGCTTTCCCAAGTGCCCTGAATGCTGGCTGCCTACATTCTCCACATATGTATGTGGGCAGAGCACACATCCTGCAACAATCCAGAGCTGAATACAAAAGGATTAATTTGCACATGCCACAACATGTAATGGGATGCAATGAAATCACAGCCTGGGTGCCAGACTCCTACTGTGCTGAACAAGATTTGGATGGGCTCATGCTATACTACTAAGAGACCACATTTAATAGTGAAGCAAGACGATGCCTTAGTACAGCACAGTTTCCTCATCAACAGAATTCATCTTCTATCCAGCACTGTTCAGAGCAAAGACTGCACTGCCTGGGCAGTGGGGTGGCTCAGGGAGGGAGTGTGCAGGGAAGCTTTCTTGAGGCTGCACAGGTAGAAATGGAGACCCACCTGTCAAGACTGTGCCTCTTTGTAAGTCTCTCGTTGTGACCTTAGCATTCAAGTGAATGAAGATTTTCCACAAACTGAGATTCCCCAACAGTAATTAAAGTGATTTGGAAAGGCATGATACTTACTTTAAAACAGCACCTCGGAGCGCCTCCCTTTCTTTGGCTTCACCTGGCTCTTCTCCAGTGCAAGGGATAACGTCTGCCTCTGTGTACCTGAGCACAAGGGGTTAAGGAGCACACAGCCTTGCTGCAGAGATGGTTGGGACACTACGGGATACAGAATTAATTCCAACTGGGAACACCTCAAAAGAAGAGGGACTGGTAACCATGAAGGGGCTTTATTTTAAACTCTGGATTAAAGTTTTGTTTTAGGTGGAAGGAAACGGCAAAGTCTTTTGAGAGTAACATAACGCCACTGCCTCTTAGAAGGGGAAAATCAATTCCTCAACCCCTGCAAGCCTAACCTGAACAATTCCACTATTTCTGTTTGAGGTACAGAGATCTTTTACCAGCTAAGGGTTGGGACTTCAATCTTAAAGGTTGGTACAGATTTCAATAAAACCTAATTCCATAGGTTTTATTGAAAAAAAAATTACAGTTAGAGCAGTGTCTGCCAATACTCTTGCAGGAATTCCTCCTTGATGGTTGTTACAGCTGCTGCAGGGCAGAAGTCTGCCCACAGCTCTCCCAGAGCTGTGTCCATAGAGCCTGGTTCCCAGATAGAGAAATCCCCAAATGACAGTTGATAAGAGTAATGATCTCCCAAATTATAGAAATTCCCCTAATGATACATTTGCCCATAAACTGTTTAATGAAAGGAAAAAAAAATCAGCCTGTCAGAGGGGAAGGTGAAAAGTGCTTACTGAACAAAACCGTTGAAAACAAAGGGGGGTCTTGTGGAAAATAAACTCAATTCCTACCCATGGAGCAGGAAAAGCTATCCATATGGAAGAAACCTGGATGGAGACAACAGATTGCTTATGGAACAGAATAAAGAAACATTAACTGATCCCCTGCAATGTCTCCTCCAGACAATAACCAGGTCTGAAGTAGTGCTGCCATCAACAGAAGGATCTCAGAGGGAGTAACTGGGAATCCCTGCTAGTGCAAATAACATGGTAACTGGAGAAGGTCGTGTCATTTCCAGTAGGGCTGGACACAGATTATCCACCACTTCCCAGGGTAGTGGTGTATGAAAGGTAGCTGCAGATGCACCTCTGGGTTCCCTCTCAGTAAGAGCCTTTCAAAAACGATACTGTGGTTTCCCGTATTCAAGTGTGTCGTCTCCATCCACATCCAGGTCAGCGTCGCTGTCTGGATTCTCCTTGCCACTGCACATGATAAACCCAGAACCTGAAGGAAAATAAAACACATGGATGAGCATTTAAACTGGAGATGAAGTGTAGATCTCCTAAGAATGGTGCTGCAACACCAGTCTGCACGATGTCCTTTACTCTTAATGGCTTCATAAAAGGTATCACCTCCAAAGACTGCACAAGAACACACTCAGAACTGCTCTAACTTCCCAGATTTTATGTTCCAAATGCCCCCCAACATTTAAAATCAAGCATTCCTGACCTTTAGTTCTATATGAGTGATTTTAAAACGTAAGGGTCTCTCCCAAAGGCAGAAAAAACAATGAAGCAAAATAGGAAAGACTGATTTTTCACAGAAACTGTTAACACAAAATCGACACTATTAGCAGGTAAGAGAAGGCCACAGGGACATTCTGAATTAGTCCTTAATTCAGATGCAGAGGGTAGGGAAAGGCTAAAATAGAATTAGAAATATCTTTTTCTTTTTAAAATGCATTTAGTAATGGCTTATATTTTTACAACTTAATACACTTAAGAACAGCAAACCTTTTTCTAGAAGGGGGGGGAATCACACTTCACAGTCATTAACAGCTCCTTACAAGCACTTCTTATATGAGCAAATTCCAGTGCAACTCATCAAGAGTTCTGCTTTTCCAGCACAGGTGGGTCAGGCACACGACCAGTCCCAACTCCAGCAGGAAGCAAGCCTTTACAGTTCCACCTGAGACTGACTGTGCAACAATTGCCACTTTCTAACAATTTATACATTTATTTTGGTTACCAAGCATTTTGTTGACTGTTACTGCAAACTGTACTCAGGCTTCCTTTTAATTGAATCTGCCTAAACACCTACAAAGATTAATCTTCACATGGTATTTGCTGTCTAAGGTTTATTAATAGAAGGGAAACTATAGAAGACATATATTTACTCTTTATGAGAGCTAACATTGAATATGTTTTCTCCCACGAGACAACACATTAAGCAAAGGTCTCCTGAACCCCAGAGTGTTGGAATGCCCTCTTTTGTGTTCAATTCTGCAGCAGATCTAAGCTGTTTGGGGACATAAGCTTTGCAGATAGAAATGTGCTCCCTTCACCTGCCTTCAGTACTCCTTCACTTACACCTGGCTCAGACAGAGGCGCCTGCTGGGGCCTGAAGGACCATCCAGATGGCTGGTGACCCAAGTTTGTGGTAGATCAGGGAGCACGTCCCAACTGCAAACCCTGAAAGAGTAAGGCAGATGTCGCCTTGGCCTTGCACAAATGCCCCAAAATGGGTATGTTCCCGCACTGTTAATGTGGTTCTAAATGCAGAATACAGGTAAAAAATTATTGTAGGAGCACTGAATATTATACACATGTCTGAAGAATGAGGACATTCCAAAGCATTAGGGCAGCCTTTTTAGTGCTACCAATGTCTGAGCCTGTTCATCCCACTGGGCTCTCACCAGCACACTTACACAAGCCCAGAAGAGTGAACTATATTTCTAACAGTCTGCATCTGTGCAGAGAGCAGGGCAAAGCAAAGGTCTCATTTCCAAGGACACCACGCAGACACAGTTCTTTACTGTGGCTCTCTAGGAATGGATGCTCTCGCTGATTCATTAAGCCCCCAATAAAATTTGTTTATATGGATTTGATATTTCTCTTCCCTGAATATCAAGAAGGTCCTTAACGAGTGATAGCTGTAGCACGACAGCGATTTTAAGACTAACCTTTCCCTGGAAGCATAAACTACCTTTTACTTCCAAGTAATTGCCAGACTTAATTTTTAGCAGAGGTAACACAAGCAGCACCAACAATGCAGGAGCCATCCTTGTAGGTCAGCCCTGTGGTGTCACTGGGGCAGCCCTCTTCCAGCAGACCCCTGGTAGAGTGTTTCATACTGGCTTTATGCTGCCAGCCAACACGTGTCACGAGCTGCCTCCTCTTGCTGCAATGGCTCATCTAGTAAATCTTGACTCATTCAGTTCATCACAATGTTTGGATGAAGATTTAGAGGAGCAAGAGAGACCTGTCAAAGAAGCTGGATAGTCTTTCAAAGCTGCTTTAAAAGTCAAGAGTGGGGCGATGGGGTGGTAATTTATAGGCATGGCATTTAACCTGCAGTAACACCATCCCCTGCACCTGGCATTACTTTAGCCCATCACTTCTCAAAGGCCATAAACTTTGGACACACAGGTCTTCATTTTTCTTGTAGCTGTGGGAAACACAAATCATGTAAAGCTGGAGCTGTGACTTGGCCAGTCCCAGGAGATGATCTGAACGTTAGCCAGACAATGAATACTTGGAGCAAGTGCCTTGGTTGGTGGGGGAAGGTGTCCAAAAGAGTGAAATGTAAGTGGGACCACTCCCTGTGTCCCTCTCTCTGCAAGGATGCCAAGCACACAGCAAACGTGCACCTTTCCATCAATTTTGTTTCCAAGTGACTCAAGCCAACTAGTGGTTTATGGCTAGAGCTTAAGACAAGAAGATCTGCTTACTGTGATACAGGTTACAAATATTAAGGCACCTTGACTTCAGAATCCTGGTGTCCTTGCTCTCAAAACCTTTGTACTTAAGAAAATCCCTTTTAAGTCTGAAAGGAAAATACTCCAGAGCTTTTGCTGAATCCATGTCTATAATAGGAACCACTGCATTGCCAACAGAGTACTATGCTCCCTACATAGGGAGGGGTACAAGGGGGAGGGTTTGGATAGTATGTGTTGCAATGGCAGATACACACTGGGATGATCTGATGTAGCCTTTTAGTCAGAGAGGAGGGCATAGCAGAAGTGGAGAAGTTCACGGGTTGAGGGGCATGAGAAGGGTAAATTTTCTTTTCTGATCAAACAAGGACTCCCAGATTGATGACTAAAGGAAGGCACAGTGAGGTGATCCAACTCTCAGTTTTTCAATAAATTTGGATTTTATATTTTTTTTGACATGACCAAGAGCAGTCCACTGCAATATGGAAAAAACCTCCTCGATTCAGAAACCGTTTGTTAACCAAAGTAACCTCTGTGAATCCAGAAAATACTCTGAATATAAGCTGTGCTATCAGCTTTAGGACTTCAGAAGCTGCTTTGGAAAAAAAGAAAACCAAAACCCACAAAATACGTTTCTGATGCAAATCAGGATTCATAAAACCCAATACTGCCCCTGCACACAAGAGAACACCAGAGGACAGGATGCAAAGCTTGGCCCAGCACCACCTGTGGAATGAACGGCCTGACATCAGCATCCTAATGCCCTTTTTTCTGCAGCAGGGATGGATTTTGAGGCCAGTTCCAGTGGGATGGTGTTTGGTGCCACAATTTCAACCTGACCCTCCTTGTCTAACTTCCTGGGGTTGCTTCCATGCACAAAGCCAGTGAAAACACCCATGCAGCTGTTCAAATATTTGACATCTGAACTGCTTGACATTATTCATTCATCTCAGGCTCATTCAAACCAGATTTCTGGACAAGTGCTGTTATAAATGGATTAAGAGGACCACTAAATGCAAGGAAGGCCCAAAATGATCACACCTGCTTCTCACTAACTCAGCCCAAATGTAAAGAGGGCTCACAACTTCCAGCTCCTGCTGGTGGTGTACACTGCCGTCCAGGAGCAAGGAAAACATGAAACGGAGCGCAGAGGGCAGAGTGGAATAAAATGGCCTTTGCAACAGCATTGTTTTGAACCTATTAGAGGAGAACAGGAGTTTCCAGAAGACCCCCTACCACTACACTTGGGTGATTTGCAATTCAGCAGTGTGCACTGGGAACAGAGAAGGGTTCCTCCAGCAAGGCTCGGCTTCTGAAGGTCACCCAGTAATTCACAGCCATCAGCATCAGCAACACTGCCTAGAGCGGACCTCTAAAGCCAGCAGAGGTCAACACTCGGGAACAGAACTTTATCCCCACGTGTTAATGGAGTGAAATCCGGCAACCGAATGTTAAGTTGCGAGTTTGACCCAGGAATTCCTAAGAGACACGATCTGTTACTCACAGAAGCAGCTGTGACTCTCCGGAGTCACCCAAGGCCTGAGGAACGTAATTCCACATGCGAATTTGAAAATGCTGCTTTCAGATGCAAAAAGAACAAACCCAATGCAGCCTCTCCTATAATGTTGCTGTTCCTTGTTGAAGAACTTTTTGCTCTTGCTGTGCATTTGGTAGGAGGCAACCACTTGTCATAGGCTGCCAGCCCTGATACAATTAGCCTTCTGATGCTAAAGCAGCACGATTCTCTGACAGTCTTAATCCCAGCTGCCTCCTTAAGGTCCAGACAAACAGGAGTGAGCAGGCAGGTCAGACGCTGGGGCCATTAAGCAGAGAAAAAACAAAGTTACAGCTCTGTCTCCAATCCCCATTGCTCTTGTAGCCAGGTGCTCTGACAAGCAATTCCAGCACTGGTATTGAGTGGCACCTCTATAAACCCTGTGACAGTTTGGGAGACAAACTCACCCATCAATCAGAACGTACCTATCAACATCACTTACCTAGCACTGTGTACACAGCTTTCTTTGCTTGGGCTGGCCTCAGAGCAGTCTGCCTGAGCACCAATTCAAGGCACTTTCTGAAAAATTTAGGTACTCTACACAAGCAATGGCGTTTTTGAAATACTGACTCAGAGGTCTGAAAAGCAGAAAAAATTTGCCTGCCTCTTCACCACTGCCAGCTGCAAGCACTGGCAGGCTACAGGAATCAGCTGAGCTTGAAAGAGAAAACACTTCACACCCTTTCCATGCACCTGTTAATAACGGCTGGACATAAATCTCACCAGAAATCCTTTCCTTCCCCTTTTTGTAAGTTGTCATGGCACTTTTCTTTCTCCTAAATCATCTCCTGTGCCTAAGCATCCTCTCTGACCTCTGCACTGCTTCTCAAATCTCACCTCCTGTGTGCAATTCCCCCAGTGACCGGTCACCTCAAGATCTCTCAAGTGAATGGTGGCCCAGGCTGAGATCGAGAGTCATTAACATGACATATAAGCAGATTCACAGAACAGATAAAAGGACTTCACATTCAAGTCCCTCCTTTTCTCCATCACATTCAGTGACAGATGGTCAAA